TAGTAAACTGTAGAAAAGAAACAGGGAAATATAACCTCCAGCAACGTGTTATGATGATGATTCGTAAGCTGGTGTTTTGATTTATACCTTGATAAAGATTTAATTGCCTGACACCAAGAAAACCTGTCTGTCGTGCTGTGCAGGTGTTTATCTGAAATGACTAGATTGCTGTGGAGGTGTTCAGGTAACTTACCCATTTGGTTTTATTTGCAGGCTTGATGGGTGAAGATGTTGCCTTTTGGTTTTTACATTGTGTCTCTTCTCAGGTGCTAAAGGAGAGTAGGTTTGGTTAGGACACTGTGGTTAGGGGACGTCCTTGCACCTTCTTCTCAAGAATTGGGGCTTTTCATAGAACCAGGCGTAGAATTACAAATGCAGGACCACGGTGGCATTGAGTCAGCTTTTCATCATGTGCCTCCTTACCCCTTCAGCAAGTGTTCCCTGGCTAGTCTGAAGGTTGGTCCAGTCATTGGCACTTCACCAAAATAAGACTGCTGGGTTTACCAGCAGTCTGAGGGCAAAGCAGTGCTACAGCCACACGCTTCACGCCTTTGGACAACACCAGCTCACCGCCCACCTCTTTAAATGTACTGCAATAAAAATCGCAGTTTATGGGAAGTATTTTATGGGAAGACTGTTTGAAGACAAAAGTGCCTTGACAAGGAAGAAAGCAAAAACCACCCAAAGGCCAGACTAAGGGGTATCTGAGTATTTGCAGCTCGTACACACCTTGGGCAATAGCAAAAGCTGAGGGTGAGATGGCAGATGGGCTGCAAAGTTATTCTAATGCCCTTTCCCTGAATCATCACATGGGCAACAATCTGTCTCCCCACAGAGCTATCCTCCCTTGTGCCCTTATCTGTACAGGGAGTCATCGCCTGCTTCGTTGGAAACACAGTATTTTTGTCAATGCATTACTCAATGACATAATTACTTTTGTGTCTTGCTGCTAGTCGTCGGGACCAGCTCTGAAAACAGCAGTTCTTCTAAGACGTGTGTCTGCTCATCTGCCTTCCTCGTTCCCAGCGAGAATCCAAAGGGCGCATTAAATATAACCTCGGACTCCGGTACAAAAATAAATCATGTAACATGAGCTGCATGTCAGTTAAATAAGTCAGTCACGTTGCAATTTCTATTGCACCAATTCGTATTAGAAAGTATTTTCCTTTTATTGAAAAGACTCTGCAAATGCAAACTCCACAAAGAAAAAGAGCACAAAGCACGAGTACCGGCCAAGTCCTGCTGAGACTCTCTGCAGCCCGTGGGTGACAGATGAGGTCTTTGCTGTTGCATGCCGTGCCTCACCAGGGTTGTGGTTTCCCCCCAACAGCAGCTCTCATAGGGATTGGCTGTACAGTGCCACAGGAGCCAACAGTTGGAAAACTCATTTTTAAATTCCCTGCTCCAGTTTGGTCTCTGAGGGAAACCCCCAGGGTGGTGCTGGAGTAGCGCTGCCCGCAAGCAGGAGTAGTTCAGGTATCTGGGTTCCCCAGATATCCCACTCTTAGACAACTCTGCCTCAGCAAAACCTGTGCTTCAGGTCTGCATCTGTGCAAGGGCAATCATTAGACTTTCTACTGCCCCAAGCAAGGTGGCTTCACCAGAGACTGTAAGAAGCAGAGGTATTCCTGTCCACTGGGGCACCCAAGTGCAGTAGGCAGGCCGCTTCACACCGCCCATCCTGGGACGTGCTCAGCCTGTCCTACGGGGACAGGCAGACCAAGTCAGAACGCTTGAGATTGGCTCAAGGCTTGCTGAAAACTCCTAACTCCTCCAAGTCCAAAAGAGAGAGTCAGAGACTGCCTGCTCACTCTTACCTGTGTGAGCTGATTTTTTTGAGGCACTCAAACGTGTTTTTACTTCCTTGGGCTTCCTGTGCGAGGCACCCAAGTACAGTAGGCAGGCCGCTTCACACCGCCCATCCTGGGACGTGCTCAGCCTGTCCTACGGGGACAGGCAGACCAAGTCAGGTAGCAGAACGCTTGAGATCGGCTCAAGGCTTGCTGAAAACTCCTGGGCGAGCCAAGTCCAAAAGAGAGAGTCAGAGACTGCCTGCTCACTCTTACCTGTGTGAGCTGATTTTTTTGAGGCACTCAAACGTGTTTTTACTTCCTTGGGCTTCCTGTGCGAAGGGAAGATGTCCAGTGTTTGCTGACACTGCTGGCCGCTGCTTCACTGAACCGGGATTCATTTCATGATTGGTTTTGCAAGCCTGGGGAGAAGCGGTATTGTGCATTGACCTGCTCTTGCTGCTCTTCAGGTGCGGCAGAAACATCCCTGATGTTCAGCAGCAATGCTTTTTGATGGCACCAGGGCCTTGGACCATTGCCTGGGTAAGTGCCAGCCCAGTCAGGGAGTCATTTGCCTTTGGGTTTGGGTTCTCCTAGAAGATGATTACTTGTCTAGTGCTTGAAACCGAGATTCTTCTCTGGGATATTTTGATGTAAACGTTTGACTTTGTAGAAGTCCAGTATTGTTCTCCTCCTTCAGGGCAGCTGGAGGTGGTGTAAGTCCTCCCTGAGGGGAGCCAGACCATGATTTCTCCTCAGCATAGTTGCCTGCTGCAGAACCACAAGAGGGGAAAGTCTGTAACTTGCGGTATTTCTGCTCCATCTCTTAAAGAAGGAATTACTCAAACTCATTAAAAAATATTACAGAGGTAAAACTACCTAGCTCATAGGCCCTTTCATTTCCTACTCTAATAACTTGGACTCTTTTCTTTTTTTTTAAAAAAAAAAAAAGCTAACACCACTAGGTGATCACTTGTGAATTTTTGTATTTCCATGGAACATGCATGCAAAAAGCCCAGCTGATGATGATTTCCACCAAAAGGTTTGAAATAAAATCCTGGCTTTGGTAGTAAATTAGCATTTTTGGCACTCTATAAAAATCCCAAATGTTTAAAAAGTCACAGAATCCATGATTACTGTAACAAACCCTAAGTACTGCTAATCATAGCGGTAATGAGGTTTTAATATTAAAATCTCTCTGGCAGATAGGTTGGGGAGGAAGGGGTATGTTACCTGTGTGTGCTGAGATGGTGCATTGTGTTACACGCTCCCAAGATTCTCACTTGTTTTTTGTTTCACAAATTAAAGATGCGTGCCAGCTTTTCTCTGCCTCTTTACAGAGAAATTTGATGTCTTTTTCGAAAAGACATTTTAATTGGATGGAAATTACTGGACGCATTATAGGGGACAAATAGTTCAAACCTGTGGCCTGTATCATGCAGGCTTTTTGGGTCCACGTTGAACAACCCGTGGATAGCCGGAGAGGGAGCCTGCTTCCTAGTCCAACAGTGGCTTCAGTTGAACTGCAACTCAGTAACAAAGGAGGAAAAACAGTACTCGCAGCACTTGCTGTGCTCTTAGCCCTTATGCCTCCTAGGTGGGAAACTTACTCCTGGTCTGTATGTCTTGCTGTGTTTTCAGTGTGAGGTCGCATGCCCTGTGTTAAGCCAAATGAACAGCTCAGTGCTGTGCCATGCCCCACGGAGAAAAGTACTCCTTTCTGACTAGAGATGCAAACTACTGTGCTGGGAAGTGGTACGCTGATGTTGAGTCGAGCAGCCTTTTCAGCATTACAAAGCCTCACTGGGCAAATAAACATCAGTCGAGCTGCCTACGAATCAGGGTTGACTGGGCATTTCTGTACCACATGGGCTCTGGACTCATAGGCTAGCAGCCTAGAGCTTCCTTGATAGAGCCTCCAAGACTCATGTAGGCTGATGGCACATGGTCATGAAACAGACCTGCTGAGAAAGGGGAGGGTTGCACACCGGCTGGTGGTTGCTGACTGGATCACACTCATCCTGGAGAAAACAGTCCAGGAGAAAGACACGCTGACGCCATCACGCCTTCAGATGAAGGTTTCCATACGGGTGGACCAGGCTAGGTCTTCATTTTGAGATTAAAAAGATTTCCTGGCCTGAAGAAATGCGGCATTTCACTCCATACAGATGTGCTGAGATGGACTGTTAGGGGTCATTAATACACACCTACCAGCCATTTTTATTTTAAGAATATCAAGTAGTACTGGTACCTACCACCTGTGGTTATTTTCTATCTTTTTTTATGGAATAGGTTGAAAAAGGTTTCCTTCTCTGGACTACAGGCCCAAAGCCATCCTCACAGGCGCGAGGAGGCTGGAATACCGTGCCAACCCCTGGAGATGTAGGTTTGACCCAGAAGCATAGAACCCTGTATCGCACCCAGTACTAGCAAGTACTGGTCTAAAGACAGGTGAGTGCAAGATGCTGTGTCACCTGGGAAGAAGCTACGTGAAGGTCAGCTGCTGCACGGTGACCTCTGTGTGCAGGCTTTCTGGTCTATGGGAGGCACGTGCAGGGTCCGCATCCCAACACAGCTGGCTCACGAAGAGAAGAGAAAGCTGTGGTAAGCCCCAAAAGTTGCTTGGATGGCACACCTTGCGCTGCCTGCTTTATGGAAGAAAGGTGGAGAACAAAACTCCACAGTGAGTAAAGTAACAGGACAGAAACAACACTGCAGTGCTCCTGCAGCATTCTGGTGTGCTTCTGTAGCAAGCAGCAGTTTATAAAGCACTTGATACTCTAGTAGAAACAGGAATTTTTCAACGCCTTAGATGGGAAAGGGACTAAGACCATAATAGTAAGTTGATTTAAATATCTCAGGGTAATTACCATGTAAGAACTGCCTTTAGCGCTGTAACACTTGTCTGCCTTGCTTAGGTATTCTGAAGGAAAAAAGAAATAGCTGAGACGCTGCTTTTCTGCAGTGCTTCCCTAGTATGCCAGAGCAAGCTTTCTCAGTAACTTGTTAATGTAGGACGAAAAGCAGCATCTTTCTTTCTGAGAGACCAGGCTGTATTTATTTCCCTTAATGCTATCCCTTAGTACTTGAGCTATGTGGCCACTGTGAAACCTGTAAGTTCATTCCTTTCGCCTCCTATCTTGGCCTTGGGGTCCTGGAGGTATTTCCTGCCCCGAGGAGGTGATGAAATAGCGTCAATCGACATTTAATGTCCTGCGGTGGGGTGCCGGAACGAGCTCTGTGTGTCAGTTCTCATCATTCACGCACTTCTCCAGGTAAGGTTAGTGCAGGACTATGTAGGGGCTGTTGCAGTTTAAATTGTTGCCGTTAACGACCAGTTTCTGCTACTCTCCTCCTCACAGGGAGCAGCGGTGGGAACGGGTAAGGTCAGCAGCGCAACAGGGAGAAGTCCCGCTCTGGCAGCCGTCAGTAATGGCCGGGCCCCGACGATCCCTGGCCCAGCGGCGCCGGGGCTGCGGCTGCACCGAGGGAGGTGAGCGCGGCCGGGCGGCCCCTGCACCGCGAGCGTCCTGCGGGCGGGGCCCGGGGCGGGGATGAC